GGCTCAGGGCTTGGGTTGGGGGGACCTTGCAGGACGGACCAGGACCTCAGCAGCCCCTACGCCTCCTGACCTGGACGTATGGGCTGCTTCCTTGACAGCACCTGTCACAGGGACATCCGGGTGACATCTGAGCACCTGCCTCAGCCCAGGGCATGACCCCAGGTCCTGGGGTCGGGTCCCACATCGGGCTCCGTGTGTGGGGCCTGCTTCTCCCTCTGCCTGTGTCCCTGCCTCTCTCTGTGTCTCCCATGAATAAATAAATACTTTAAAAAGAGAGTACAGGTTGCACATTCTCCAGGCTACACCAGATATCAGGCCACAAAACCAAGCCTCAGGTTCTTAAGACGTGAACTCTTCTTTCCTGATGTTCACATACAACAGCAACTTTCTTTTGATTAGTGTTTACATGATATTTTCCCCCATTCTTTTATGGCTAATCTCGCTGTCCGCTGGTAACGAACGTGTGTCTGCTGTCAACAAAACTGTGTCTTCCTATCCAGTGTGACGGTTTTTGTCTAATTGGATGGTTATCTTACATTTATTTTTTATTTATTTTTTAAACAAATTTTTATTTATTTATGATAGTCACACACACAGAGAGAGAGAGAGAGAGAGGCAGAGACACAGGCAGAGGGAGAAGCAGGCTCCATGCAGGGAGCCCGACGTGGGACTCGATCCCGGGTCCCCAGGATCACGCCCTGGGCCGAAGGCAGTGCTAAACATCTGAGCCACCCAGGGATCCCTTTATACGACATCTTAATGGTTGTCTTAGAGATTGTGTTTCAAGGACCAAGCAAAGATTTCGTGAAATCTGATTTTGATATATCCCCATTTTGATGTTATTGCTGTATATTGCAATTCCACGAATAGATATCCACAAGATATTAATTTATTGGATAATATTAAGCATAATATTCATTGGTGCTTGCCCATACATTTATCTTTTCTGTTATTTTAGAGTTCATTTTAGTCATATTTCATTTTGGTTTCCATCTGAGTTGGATCTTCGTTCCATCTGAAGAACTCCGTATTTCTTTAACGAAAGTCCACTGATGCTTCTTTTTTTTTTTTTTTTTAATTTCTGAAGCTGTTTTCGTTTCGTTTTGCACTTCGAAGCTGGCGTTCCACTGGTTTCTGCTTCTCATTGTTGCTATTAAGCAGCCAGTCCATCGTTGTATTGTCATTCCTGGAAAATAATGTTATCTTGCTTCCTTTAGCTATTTTTAAGGCTTTTTGTTTTAGTCTTTACCTTTTAGCCATTTTACACCAGATGTCTACCCCCGTTTGGTTGGGGGTGGAGGGCATGTGTATGTATCTTGCATGCAGTTCAGAATGAATCTGCCTCCTAATGTTTTCATCAGGTTGGGAAAACTTGTGGCCATATTTCTTCATCTCTTGCTTCTGGTATGGTTCTCTCCCTCCTGTGCACCTGTAACTTGAGTTACGCACATTCTAGACCTTTCACTGGGTTCTGTATGGCTCGTCTGCTCGTTGACGGGTGGGGTACTGCCTCGGTCCCCTCTCTGTGCTCCACCTCAGATACGTTCTTCTGATTTTTATCTCTAGATTTTTTTTAATTTTTAATTTTTTTCTAGATTTTTTAATGTGCTATTAAACTATTAAGTTCTTAGTTTTGGTTACTATATTTTTTACTTTAGATGTTTTCACTTTATTTATTTTAAAGACTCATTTATTTGACAGGGAGAGAGAGCAAGAGAGCACAGGCGAGGCGAGCAGCAAAGGGAGGGGGAGAAGCAGGCTCCTCACTGAGCAGGGAGCCCAGTGGACGATGTGGGGTCGGATCCCAGGACCCCGGGATCATGACTTGAGCCGAACACAGATGCTCAGCCGACGGAGCCACCTGTTTTCACTTATTTTCACTTTATTTAAAAATATTTTCCAGTTGTCTGTGTGGTTTCCCCACCTGTTACCCATTTTCTTCAACACAATAAAAATTAGTGTTTTATTGCTTCACGACACAGGGCCACAATTTTTTTTAATGTGTCATGTGACATAGTTACATTCATGTTCTCATTTCTCAAATAAGCACAAATGTGACCGCTTAGGACACCACACATTTACGTCATGGTTCCCACAGGCAGGTGTTCTGGGTGGGTTTGGGTCCCTGGCTCGGGGCCTCTCAACCCTAGAATCAGAACGTCAGCCGGGCTGTAGTCCCTTCTGGACCTCGGCGTTCTTCTCCGAACTCGGGTGGTTGGCAGTCTCATTCCTCGTGGTTCTCAGATGGAGGCTGTGTTCTCACTGGCTGTTGGCTGGATCTGCCCTCTTGCTCGAGCGCACACGTTCCCTTCCCAGGCCTCCAGCGAGTCCTCTCAAAACGTGGCAGCCCACTCCTGTAGAGTCAGCAGGAGAGGGTCTTGGGCTCCAGTCTGCTAACACAGATTTTTCTAGGATGTAATGTAAGCCTGGGAGTGACGTCCCATCACCTGCTCTCCTGGGTGGGGGCAAGTCCCAGTTCCACCTACGCTCAGGAGGAGAGGATCATCCATGGATGTGACCGGTGTGCGTCGCCTTATGATGCATCTCCCACAATCTATTTATCTCAGAGTTGTATCTAATAACTTTAATAAGTGACTTTTTTAAGAGTCTATTTCTATTAAGTGCTTTTTTTTTTTCTTCTTGATTCTTAGCCCTTTGGCCTCTTGTCCCTGGTATGGTTAGTGTGTATTTATTGCAGCCTGGACACTTTACATCAGTACATCAGTGTATTTATTGCAGCCTGGACACCTTACATCAAACTTCTCCCGAACGGGGCCAGGTAGTAAATAATTCAGGATCTGTGGACCAGAAGCCTCTGTTGCAACTATTAAATGCTGCCATGGTAGCAGAAAAGCAACCATAGGCAGTACATGAGTGAATGTGGCTATGGTTTAAAAAAAAAAAAAAAGACTTAAAGCTACTGAAATTTGAATTTCATAGTTTTCATGTCACAAAATATTAACTTTTGTTTCCCATCATTACAGAATGTAAAGACCATCCTATATAATCCTTGTAGATTATGCAAAAACTGATGGCGGGTTCACGGGTCAGCAGTCAGTGGTTTGCTTACCTCTGCTCTATGAGAAAAAAATAGTACAGATCGACCGAGTCTCTACATTATGTTATCTTCCTCTGTTTGACCCCCTAGCAGGTAGTCAGATGAGGGGCGAGACCATATCAGGAAGCAGGGATCAAGTGAGACCGAAGCTGGTTTCCGGGTGTGAGGATTCATTTCCTCGTTACCCGCTCACCTAGAGGGCAGCCCTGGAGCACGTGGAGCCCGCCAGATGCTCTGCTCATCCTGTTTCAGTGTTTTGACCAAAGCCTGTAAACCTCAAATTAGAGTTCCTTGAAGAAACTGCAAACGGGGTGTTAGGCTAACACTTCTCCATGTCCTTCCTTTATGGAGACTCGGCCTCTCAATCATTCAGGGACTCACCCTCTTGTCGTCATTGCAGAGATGGAAGAGAGAGGTTTCAGTCCTTCGATTGTATGCAGATGTGAAGAGTCACAGGGGGAAGGGACCCAGGAAAGGGCCACTTATTCCCCTTCTCTTACTTGACCTTTGTGTCTTCATTTGTAAAATGGGGAGAGTGATACGCTAATATACGTCTACTTCGCCGTGTTCTTGGGAGTCACACGAGGCCACGTGAAGGATGCGTAGTGCAGGGCAACATCTGGTGAGGCATCCCTGTCATCACCATCCCATGTCACAGTGTGACCTCATTACTCACAGATGAAGGGGGAGGACCGGATCAGAGAAGTGTCTGTCCAAAAGCCCACCAGATCTGGACACTAAAGCAGAGTAAACACAACCGCCAGCCCACTTCTTTTCCACCATAACCAAGCTGCCTTCCTAGATTGCTGTCACCAGCTGTGCCACCACTGGGCATGATTTCAAGTTAACTTCCATGTAACCCATAGCTATGGAGAATTCTTCTTTGTCCAGACTTGGGCTAGTGTTTCTCCTGAAGCCAGATTGCCTGGTTTAAGTCCTGGTTTCTCATATATCAGCTCAGTGACCTACAGAAAGTTCCAAAACATCTCTGGGCCTGTTTTCTCTTGCGAAGATGGATACAGTCATGCTGCCGTATAGATTTATTGTTAGGATTAAATGAATTAACATGTACGTTGCATAGTTTAGTACGTAGCCTATAAAGAGCAAGTATCATAAGTGCTGGTAATTACTTTGATTAGTAGCAGCTCTAAGTACCCTGAGAGGAGAGATAAGAGTCTGGAAAGGTGCTTACAATTGAATTAGGAACCTAAGATCAATGCAATGAATAGAACTAAGGAGTGAAAAAATAGGTGACAACTGAGTGCCAACTCTTACCTAGTTTAAAGCTACTCATTAACGTCCATGTGGGCTGTGGGTAGTAAGATGGACGTAGTATATGGAAGGGGGCCTTGGGGGTTTGAGGTCTTGGGGGGAACTGAGCCAGGGCTCCAGCATGGTGGGGGGTGTGCAGCGAGCAGAGCAGAGATGAGAGAGGTTGGTTGAAAGTAGAATAAGTCACCAGGATGAGAGGATAGTGTTGCCTGCTGAAAGCTGGTGGCTGCCCGCGTGGTGAGCAAGGCATAGGACAGGGTTATGTTGCACACCTGGAACTAGTGTAACAAACATCATGCATGAACTATACTTCAATATTTAAAAAAGGCATAAAAGTGAGAAAGACAAAACCATATGATTTCACTCATAGGTGGAATTTAAGAAAAAAACAAGCAAAGGGTGGAGGGGGGGAGAGACACACCAAGGAGCAGAATCTTAAAAAAAAAAAAAAAAAAGATTTATTTGAGAGAGAGATCGATCCTGAGCAGAGGTGAGGGGCAGAGGGAGAAGCAGGCTCCCCGCTGAGCAGGGGCTCCACTCCAGGACTCTGGGATCATGACCTGAGCCCAAAGCAGAGGCTCAACCAACGGACCCCCCCACCCCCCGCCAGGCACCACAGAATCTTAACTATAGGGACAAATTGATGATCACAGGGCGGGAGGGGGTAAGGATGGGTGTAGCAGGTGATGGGGATGAAGGCATGCGCTTGTGAGAAGCATCGGCTGTCCTATGGAGGTGTCGAATCCCTATATTGTACACCTGAAACTGATTTCACACTGTATGTTAGCTGGAATTTAAGTAAAAATGTGCAAAGTTCTTACAGCACAAGTCAGAGACTGGCTTGCTGATTGTTTGCTGGGACTTAGACTGGCATCCAGTGCGGGGTATCTGAAGGTCAGTCCTCGGTGGACCTGGCAGCAGGGGTCCACACTTGGATCCTACTTGACAGTTGTTGCTTTCCTTATGCCACACGTGAAGAGTCATTTCCACAAGGTCTTAAGCTCCTCTCCTTTGGCACCAGAGAGATGGGCAGGAAGTATGGCACAGACCTTAGCAGGACTGTGGCCCAACCCAACAAATTTTGAAGTCAGCCCTTTCACCCCAGAGATTTCTCCTAAGAGCCAAGACAACTATTTCTGTCTCTCTCTGAAAATGTGAATCCCAGGATTAGCAAACGAGCTTCCTGAGTAACGAGGTCTCTAGGTGCTGTGCTGTTTGGATTGTGCCCTCTGCTCCTGGTCACTCGGGACTAGTTGCTGCTGTTTTGGGGAGAGAGACCCAGGAGTCTGAGACAGTCTGCACCTTATTAAGAAACCTCAAGCCAGAGTTACTGCTTTGTGACCCATAAAGGAGCTTCTGTCAGAGGAGACTGTGGGAATCCAGAGGAACTTAATGGGACTTTTTCTGTCCGTCGCTTGTAGACTCAGACACTGGAAGACGGGGTGATGCATTGTTTCCTTCCTTTCTAGTTTCTCGAGTGTCACATTCTGGGTGGTATCTCAAGCTTAGCCAGCGAAGGAGGGGTTCCTATTAAACCACAGCTCTGCTTAATAAGATGTTAGTAATCTTCAGATAAGAAAATTTGCAGACTTTTGGTAGAATAGCATTATTTTTACAGTGATCTAAACTCAAGTAACCGATGGGTTTTAAATCATTCAGGAAGGGCATTGACAAAACTCTGGGAAATGCTTTATAACTATTAGTAAAAACAAAACAGAACACCCATATCTCTTATTGCAGGCAGTCAAATTTTTCTGAGCGGAGGGATGTGACTCTCAGAAGAGCAGAGGAACAGGCTGTTGGTGAGTTTCCACTTCCTTATCTGCGGGGATGGTGCGTGTTGACGGTCGCGTAGTCATCAGAGAGCCCGCAGTGGCCGGTGGTCCGGGTGACACGAGCTATCATAGAAGGTCTTGTGATTTTTATCATTTTGGAAGTGTGGATACATGAACTAATGTAAGGAGGAGGGACATAAGACTTGAGGGACCTTTCATGGGGTCCTGTTCAAAAGACCGTGCAGAAATCCAAGCTCTGTGAGGCCAAGGACCGTGGCTTGGTTATCTTTCTGTTCCTGATACCAACACTCACATTTTGTGACGTACTCGACACTTTGAACCCCTGAAGAAACAGTTTTGCTTGGATTTGAAGCAAAATTTTGTTATTCACAGAAGATTAAAAAAAATCAGAGAATAATGAGATGATAAGTTCTCCTCCCTGGTGAAAAAATGTAAGTAGTATATTCATCTAAGATTGAGTCAGGGACAGGCTTTGTTTCACTTTTTTGTGTATGTGTCATTTATTTGAAAGAAAGAAATGGTAACAACCCCAAAGTTAAAGATATGGTCTGAATTTTGAGGTTGATGTCCATCTGTGTCCTCCCTCCCGGTTTGTCTCCTACCTTCACCTCCATTTCTTGCACCGTGGATGAGTAATCCTGCTCCTGCCAGTGTTCCTCATTTCGCCATCCCACTCTGTGCCTCCTTCACTGGCCGTTCTGCTGAATCTACCCACATAACGGTGCTGGGATGGAGTTGTTTCAGGTGTGGGTAATTCAGAGCTGACTAATGGTCTGGAGGAGGAAGGAAACCGAAATATTCTAGGCTAGAGGCATGAGTAAAATCTTCTGCCAGGAAAGTGAAGTTATAAGAATAAGCTGGATGAATTTCAGCGTAAGTGTGCAAGTATAATGAAAACTGTGGTTTTCCAGTGATGGGTTCTGAACTATCCATTATCACCCAGGAACGCAACCTGGATGTCACTACAGATTGTTCCTAGATGTGTCAGCTGGACTGGCTACTGTGGTCTAAGGGAGAAGGAGAACGTCGGGTGTCTTCAGGAAGGGGATTGAAAGCAAAACTAAAAATCTTATTCTGCTGAAGCCTGTCTGTGTCGGGATAATACGTGTCGCAGTACATGGATCTGGTGGGTGCACCCCAAGAAAGGTTTTATTTATTTATTTATTTATTTATTTATTTATTTATTTATTTTTAATTTTATTTTTTTAAGAATTTATTTATTCATGAGAGACACAGGGAGAGAGAGAGGCAGAGACACAGGCAGACGGAGAAGCAGGCTCCAGGCAGGGAGCCCGATGTGGGACCTGATCCCGGGTCTCCAGGATCACGCCCTGGGCCAAAGGCAGGTGCTAAACCACTGAGCCACCCAGGGATCCCTCAAGAAAGGTTTTAAAAGCACATGACGGAGTCCATGTGAGCAATTGGAAGGGACATGATAAAATGTGTAAAATTGAGGCTGGATAATCACAGGCTTGTTATAAATCCTAGAATGCTGGGCTGAAGACCCCTATCCACCGCAGTCAAGCTCTTCAAATACACTAACACCTTTAATACGGCGATTCTAGGAGCCATTACTATATTCAATTTACAAATGATTTTAAACATTATGCTTAAAATTTTGGATGGCTACTGAAGGAATTTAAGCAGGAAAGCTCCATAAGCAGATTTATAATTTTTTTATTTTAATTCCAGTGTAGTTAACATACAGTGTTACATTAGTTTCAGGTGCACAATGTAATGCTTCAGCAACCCCATAGATTACTCAGTGCTCGTCACCATAAGCACACGCTTAGTCCCCTTCACCCGTTTCATCCCTCCCTCTACAGCCTCCCCACTGATAACCATCAGTTTGTTCTCTACAATAAAGAATCTGGTTTTTTGGCTTATCCCTTTTTTCCTTCATTCGTTTGTTTCTGAAATCCCACATGTAGGTGAGATTGTATGGTATTTGTCTTTCTCTTACTTTGCTTAGCATTATACTCTCTAGCTACAGCCACGTTGTTGCAGATGCCAAGATTTCATTCTTTTTTATGGAAGAGTAATGCTCCATGGTGTGTGCGTTCCACATCTTTATCTGCGCACCTACTGATGGACACTTGGGCGGCTGGTGTAATCTGGCTGTTGCACATGATGCTGCAATAAACATAAGGGCGCGTAAATCTTTTTGAGTTAGTGTTTTTGTATTCTTTGGGTGAATCCCATTGGCAGATCTTTAAAAAAAAATGTTATGACAACATTCATTCAGGAGGCAGGTTTGGACTTGGACCAAGGTCAATGCGATGAGGGAGCTCGGTTGGGAGAACATTGCAGACCCTCCGGAGAATGATTGCTGTGTGTGCTCAGAAGTTGGGTGTTGGTAGAAAGCACAGGGAGGAGGGGACAGAGGACAGAATTTTAGGAGGGATTGTTTTCCACGTGGAAAAGGATGATTCTCAGCTTTCTGAATGGAGGTAATGGTTGAACATGGTGAGTTCTACCAAGAGTAGACATGGGTTTAAAGGGCCAGGCTAAACCTGCTGCTTCATAGTTTCTAATTTTGAGCTCACATGAGATGAGTTCATGTCTGCCCCTATCTCAGCTCGGAGTATGCAACATTGGAGGGAGAAAAGAGAACATCCAGTCTTTCTCTGATTAGGTGAATTTTAATCCTTGCTCTCACACTAGGAAAACCCATTTCCTACTCAAAGGGATGGCCTCAGATCTGTTCCATATGGCTTTCTGCTAGAATTCAAGGAGATAAGCCAACGGCCTGCTGTGTACCTTATCAAGCCGTTTTCTGTGGCCTCAGAGGATACTTGGTGCAGGGTTTTCAGGAGGAACATCTCATCAGAATGCTCCCGTTTCTAGTCTTTCACAATCACCGGGGATTTTAGGTGCAGGGCTTGGGGAAGTGAAGCCTAGGACTTCCTTACATAGGGTTCTGGGGAGCAGAAATCCCTTCAGGGTGGTGCTAGGGCGTAGGGCTGTGACAGTGCATCCTGACCAGTGTTGAAAGGATACGGGCCTCAGCTACATTTTGTCTTCCACATCAGTTACTGTTCCTCACTGGATCCTTCCCGGCTAGTTCAAGAGTGCTTGAGGAGGAACTATAGCACCGAGCTTCCTCCTTGACCTGTACTCCCCTCTCTGATGTCTGGGTAATTACTTCTACTCATCTTTCCTTTACTCTGTCTCTACTTTCCCTCTCAGAGCTCTCTCTGCCATCAGTCTCAGGATGCTGGGGCAACACTTCCATAGAACCCAAGGAGAGAGTGGGTCAAGATGATGACAATGGAGAATACTGATGACCCTCAAGGTCCAAGGCATTGCTCAGCTGATGGATGCACTTTTTAACTGAAGGCCTTGGGTTAGCCTACTCTGTTTCACGGTATGCTCATCACACCTGTCCTTGGTCCAGACCTAGACCTCCCTCAGTGCCAATGCCAAACTCCACTGCTGTGACTGAGTTCCTCCTGGAAGGGTTCTCCAGCTTTGGGTGGCAGCACCGGCTTGTCTTCTTTGCTGTCTTTCTAACTCTGTACCTACTGACTCTCTGTGGCAATGTCATCATCGTGACTATTATTCATCTGGACCATCACCTCCACACCCCCATGTACTTCTTCCTGAGCATGCTGTCCTTCTCTGAGACTTGCTACACCATGGCCATCATTCCCCGTATGCTTTCTGGCCTCCTGAATCCCCACCAGCCCATTGCTGTCCAAGGCTGTGCCACTCAGCTCTTCTTCTATCTCACCTTTGGCATCAACAACTGCTTCCTGCTCACGGCCATGGGCTATGACCGCTACGTGGCCATCTGCAACCCCCTGCGGTACTCAGTCATCATGAGTAAAGAGACCTGTGTCCAGCTGGCATATGGATCACTGGGAATTGGCTTGAGCATGGCCATCATCCAGGTAACATCTGTGTTTGGCCTGCCCTTCTGTGATGCATTTGTCATCTCTCACTTCTTCTGTGACGTGAGACCCCTGCTGAAGCTGGCCTGCACGGACACCACTGTCAACGAGATCATCAACTTTGTTGTCAGTGTCTGTGTCCTGGTTCTACCCATGGGCCTGGTCTTCATCTCCTATGTCCTCATCATCTCCACCATCCTTAAGATCACTTCAGCTGAGGGCCGGAAGAAGGCTTTTGCCACCTGCGCCTCCCACCTCACCGTGGTCATCATCCACTATGGCTGCGCTTCCATCATCTACCTTAAGCCCAAGTCCCAGAGTTCTCTGGGGCAGGACAGATTCCTCTCTGTGACCTACACAGTCATCACCCCCTTGCTGAACCCCGTTGTGTACAGCCTGCGGAACAAAGAGGTCAAGGATGCTCTGCACAGAGCCGTGGGGCGGAATCTTTCCTCTTAACAAGGAGAGATTGTTGAAAGCCTTTTATTTGATTTTGTGAAAGTATATTAATTTTAATGCTGTGTCAGTAAGGCTTTTAAGTATGAGATCAAGAAGAATAGACTTTAGTAAAGGAATTAAAACTGGGGACTTCCATTTGAGCTCGTCATGGTTTTCCCATGCCTCCTTCTGAGATGCTCAGCAAATGCCCAAGACCAGAGGGGAAAGATTTACCTGCCTGGGTCACTCCCATCCACGTCCTGTCACACACGTGTGCACACAGCCACACAACTCCATTGAGACACAGAACTGGCAGTGTTCTACAAAGCCCATGAACAAAGGGTTTGGAAGCCACCTCGGAAAGACTTTCACTGCTGTTGAAAGGAAAGTAGGAGTAGTTTGTGCAACTTTTTAACAAGTGAGGAGACACATGCATATTCTCTTCTGTGGACATGGAGGACCATCTCGTAATCTGCTTTTGCTAATTGCTAACATTCCCCAGATTCCTGAGGAATCTTCAGGAGGCTGGGTACACACTTGCCAGGGTAGAACTGCCTTACCCAGGCATTCCCGGGAAGGAGGGGTACAAATAGGAAGTCAAAAAAGTCATCAGCTCTCAAGTGCATAGAGGTGTGTTGTCCACAGCCTGGAGGTGGTGAGGTGAGGAAACACCAGTAAAGGGGAACGTGTTGAAAAGTTCAACACCTTCCGCATTTCCAGCCCAGGAGTGAAAAGCACAGAGGTTGGAAGGAGCCAAGCAAAGCCTGGTTCTTTTGTGGGCTAGACCTAAACTCTGATATGCTGTTGGAAATGTAAGCATTTTCACCACAACTTCTCAGAACACTTATCAATGAGCAGAAGTCTGAAGGTTGACTTAAATAAAAAATTTTCTGGTAAGCTCCTAAGCCCGCAGAGGTTAATCTTCAGACATTTCTTCTGAGATACTCCCAATGTAAAACCTGACCTAAAAACAGCATTCCCATGTGAGCATCTCAGAAGGTGAACACGTGCGCTCTGATGGGTCCTTTCTCCTCCATCTTCCTCTCCCGTTCTGGCCTCCCACGCCAAGGAATGGGCACACCCTGAGCTCCAGACGTGGCTCCTATGGCGTCCGGAATCCAGCTGGCGCCATGGGGTGACACTGCCCAGGCAAAATATCACCTGTGAGAGTGTCCTGACGTCGCTGGTCACAGGGGATGGGACGAGGCAGTGGAAACTCAGGAATTCTCTGAGTCAAGTTAACACGTCTGACTTTGCAAAAAAAAAAAAACATTCACCTGGAAGGCGACCTGGAGGTCAAACGTCCTTTGCCTTTGTGTTCAGGTCTGTAGAAACCACAGCACGGTGCGCTGCTGCGTGTATAGTCGAAATTATAAAAATATTCAGGCTTAGTTATTCTGCTTAATCCAGACAGAAAAGCTGTTAGGTAGAGTTCCAGCGGCCGGGGCTCCACGCTCTTCCACTACAGTTGTACTCCGTGGACGCTGTGCGACCCCACCCAGATCGCACACCTTGGGGACCCACACATTCATCCCCCCAAGCTGCTGGGAGGACGTTGGGCCAAAAGGGTCAGTTGAGTGGCTCTTTGGAAATTGCTCTTGCCATGGAGCTACTTTCTCCACAGCCACATATCTTCCCAGGGCGCACAGCCTCCAAAGACTTGTCCACTTCAGGGTGTGAAGACCAGCACCCGTCCCTTGATCTAAGGTGATTACAAAGGGCCATCCCAGCTCCAGGGCTCTCAGCTGTGAGATGGTGGCATTTGCTGTGACTACATCACATTTCAGCTTCTCCGTCTTCGGGGGTCCCCCGCCTTCTCTCTCACCCAGGTGTTGGTACTGAGGGCACTCCCTAAGAAACAGTCACATTCCAGTCCACATCAGAGTCTATTTTCTGAGGATCCTAATCTGCAATATTTTAGGATCTCATTTCTAGGACAGCACTTGGCCACCGAGAACCCAGATTTTTAGCCTTGATATATTCTAGTGAGGGCTGAAGGCCAGTGACTCCTATATATTAATTTTTTTAAATCACCCTATTAATTGAACTATATTTCCTGCGGCTCAATTTAGTTGGTAGTAGTGCAGTATTACCCTCTTGGAAACGGGTGAAAAAAATAAAACTTTCAACTTTTCTCAGAATCCACACGAAGTCATTCCTTTATCTTCAGGGTTTTTTTTCTGTGAGCAATTTTCAGTTGCATTGCAGCCCTGGATTTCCATTCAATTACCTGGCAGTGAGATTGCTGACCACTCTCAGTGAGATTTTTAAAATTTCAAATACAGGAAAGGCTAACTGTGAGGATATGTCATTCCAATTTTCAGGAAGGGAAAGAGTGTGGATGCTACAAGTGATAATGTGCAGGCTAACTCGACAGTGATCCTGGGCATAGTCGTAGGGAAAAGGTTTGGGGGTGGGAAGGCCATGAAGGTTGATGGAGCATCAGATGGGGGCTTGGGCTTGGTAACTGTCCAGAACCAGGCAGACAACTGAAGGCAAGAAGACACAACCACTCTGCAAGGTCATCTAGGGACCTGGGCTGGCAGGTGCCTCTGCCATTCTCAACGTAAAGCTCCCATCTCTGGGGTCAGGGACATGATCCCGTTGTCCCGCTTCCTTTGTCATGAGAAGAGAGAAAGAGCAGAACCACTCTTCGAGCACTCAGTTCCCCAGCACACTGCCAAGGTGGATCTTTTGTCTGAGTTTCCATGCTTCAAGTGACCAGTGGGATTTGTCTTTCACTGGCCACCAGTAGGGAGTTAACGGAGTTGATTTTCAGCAAAACCAATCTCTAATTATTAGGAATTCATGATGATTTGTGGCAGCCGATTTGGAACAGCAACTGTGGGAGGAAAATTTGCTCTCTGAACTGTCCTAGGCCAATGTGGTAAGAGATTGAAGGTAGCAGAGGAGGCCCTGAGACGGACACAGGAGGTGGATTGTCTCCATTGCAATCACCTGTGTAAACATACGTATTCTGTCTCTGCTGTAGACAAAGTGTTTGGTGTGTATAAAAATAAAAACACATCCTTTTAAATGCCATATTTTAGAGCTCCGCAAAATATCAAAGTCCTGATTCTCTTCCACATTCCTTATATAAGGAACAAGCAATGTATGGAGAAGAAAACAGGAAGAAATGAATGGGAGACAGAAGTCTCAGACAAACCTGAATTTCAGATCCAGGGAAGAGACAACGTGTGGAGGATGAAGGGAGAACTCACACCAGCGCTTCTTGGGGCTGCATCTGAGCCTCTGAACCTGTGTACTCACCGCATGGGAAGTAGGCTCCCAAGTCACTGGGGACAGGGCGTCTGGGCTCAAGGGAGCTTAGAGGCCACCTAGTCCAAACTGCTCTTTTTTACAAAGAAATGGAATCTCAGATACTAGCAAGTGACTGTCTCCAGTCACACAGTTCACGGGGGCTTGAAGATCCAGCTGTGTGCTCTCTGCAGAGCCCTTGCCAGCTTGGGTGTGGATAAAGGGGAGGTGGAGGTGAGTTGTGATACTCCAGAACCTAGACACCCCTTCAGAAGATGTATCTCAAGCTCTTCAAGCCTGGACTTTCTATCAACGTTAAATATCTCTCTACTCTTCATTTTGGGTCATTTGGCCTCAGATCCAACAAAGGAGTAAGTCACTTGCTCTCTGGTCTGTTGTGTATGATGCTGTGTCTAGGACATGGAGAAGCAAGATGTTGTTAGTGAAGACAGTGGCAAGGCCATGGTCCCAGAGACTCATGGATCTTCTGTCTTCCTCTAAAGGCAGCAGAATTGGTCAGCCCGGGTGGCTCAGCAGTTTAGCGCCGCCTTCAGTCCAGGGCGTGACCCTGGAGACCCAGGATCATGTCCCACGTCGGGCTCCCCACATGGGGCCTGCTTGCATCTCTGCCTCTCTCTCTCTCTCTCTCTCTCTCTCTCTCTCTCTGTCTCTCATGAATAAATAAATAAAATCTTTTTAAAAATGCAGGATAATTATCTAGAACAACACCAAAAAGCCTCCTGTGGGAACCTTTCCTGGCCTGTTATTGCAGGAAAAAAAAAATCTCTTCTCTACTTACCGGGCCTGTTTATGTGAAGCCAAGTGACAAGGATATTCACTGGGAATCTGGCCATTTCTTACCTGTCTAATTTGTTGCGAAAAACGTATAGAGTATTAAGGAGATTCATATTATATTTAAAAAAAACAATAATTCTCTCTGCTTTGTGGTCTAACAACATCTTTTGGAGAAAATGGGACTTCTCAACCTCAAGAGTATTTACAAATCTCCCCCTAGATTCACTTCCCGCTTACGTTAGTAATTGTCCTAAATCACAGCAAAGCTGTACATACTCTGCTCTCTTGTTGGCTGTTGCAGCCTCATGCTCAGCACCGACCATGTGTTGCATCTCTTCCTAATTCTTTCCCCAAGTCCCCTGTGTAGCTGTCTCCATGGGCAAAGGTGGGGCAGGGGGTGGGAGACCAAAATTGGGTCTTTGCCTGAGATCCGTCTGTTTGCAGAGCTGAGAGTTTTGGTGAGTATTATTTGCTAGGATTTCTCTAAGACACCCCGTTCAGTTGCTGTTAGAGGGGATTCAGGAGACAAGTTTGGGAGACGTTAGAGGGAGAAACGATCATAGGGGAATCTTGGACTCAGCCTCATCCCTCTAGTCCTGGGGCTCAAGATTGCCCCCGATTCAGCAAGCACTACAAGCTCATAAATGGTATGTCGAAATGAGAGCATAAAAATGATCCATCTCACCAACATCCCCCCCACATCTTTGTAGTTCTAGTCCAGACTTCGAGTGGTTAAGAGAAAGCATCTCTAGTCTAGAACTTAGTGGTTCTTGCCTCTAGAAGCACAAAAGAAATTAGCAAGCCTCACGTATTTAGAAGCATCATGTTACCTGTTTTTCAGCTGTTTTATTCAAATGGCACTTGTCTTTGACAGGTGCCAATAAATGACCCTACTCATTCTTTTATTTATCTAACTGCCATTTATTGAGCACCTACTATCACATGCCACTTAATCAGTCTGAGTTGGTTGAATGAAGCAGTTCTGCAAAGCCACGACTGCAGACCTTCCCGTGTGCATCGTGAGCTGTGTCTGACGATGGAGAAGCAATTGCTGATGCTGACGTTTCTTAAGCAGCGGCATCAGTTCTTTCCGGGTTCTGGTTTTTTGTTCTTCCTGGTCCTCTTAATCTGCAAGAGCACTGTCAACTGCTGCTTGGTCGAGATAAACAGTCCTGTGTCCACAGCAAACAGAATCACCACCACCAACGGGATCAGGAATTGTAGCCAGGAGTACTTGTTTTGCTTGGTGGGCTCTAGACGCAACAAGAAGCAGAAGTCATATGAGGAGCTGATGACCGGGGCTCACGACTTCATCCTCCCTACGAGAAGGACCTGGCGCAGTCCTCCGTCCAATAGCGCTAGCGTGCTAAGGCCTCCAGGATCAGAGAGCAGCACCCATGGATCTGGGTTCCTCTGTCTGCTTCCCGGAGAACTCCTGCCATCCGCCCCATAGCCCCTGCCTCCAGCTCCTCAAGCCAGTGTGCCCAAGGAGGGGAGGTCCTAGGAAAGGTGACCCCTTTTCTGGAGCTCAGGGACCAGCGGCCCTATGTGACTTTGGGATGGAAAGGAGACAACGCATGTGGGGGTGGGGGCGACCGGAGCCTCATTTCTGATCGCTCATCATTTACCACCTGAACCAAGACACGGGGCCAGAGCTTCTTGAAGCTGCCTTCCAAGTCCCTCTCTTGTGATTGGTTCTCTTATTCCGTCTACAAGGTGCTGATTTTCGTGATTATCCTAGAATCATAGAGCCCTAGAACATTACAGCCAGAAACCCCTAGAGATTGCCTAGACCAGCAGCTCTCGGCACTGGCTGTACATGACCGTTCCCTGACGGGCTTTTAAAAATACTGATGCCCAGTCCTCCAAACCAATTAAATCCAGATCTCGGGAGATAACATGCAAACATCAGTATTTTTCAAGTTCCCCAAGTGGCATCTAGACCAAGCCTTTGACTTTACAGATAAGGATCCCGGAAGGCCAGCGACAGTTAAATAGCACATCGGTCTCAGACCAGGTAGCAGAAAATTGACAATAAGGCTTAATTCTGGCTTCTGGTCTCATGATTTTTTAGACGTTGGTATGAGCCAAGTCGACCAAGCAAAAAATATCTGATTTCCTCCGAGCAAGGCAGATATCTGAGAGGCTTCCCTCTCTTCTCTGCAGTTGGGAGGGAGCATCTTTCTCTTTGGGCCTGCTCGGTGTCCCCCGGAGGCCCATCTCCTCCCAACTGGGGCACCCAGCCCACGGCCTGCGGGTCTCCCTCCCCCTCCCTCCTCCTCAAGCGCGGTGGCGTCTTCAAGCTCCCCACAGCCTTCATCCCTTCAACTCTGAGACTGCCTTTCAACCTGATAAGCATAAGTGTCCTCCCCAGGAGCCACAGAGGACTTTGAGATCAAACCAGCAACTTCGTCCGTTATGCTTGGGCAGTGCTTAACAGGCTACGCATCCATTTCCAGATATCACATTTAGTCCTCATAAAAATTCCACAGCTTGAACAGGTGTCACCACTGCCGGCAAACAAACAAGGCCTTGGAGGCCGCGGCCCAAGCCCCTCCCGCGGCCCAGGGGACCCATGAGGCAGAGCCCCCGCCGCTGCTCCAGGCCCAGGGGTCCTCTCTCTCCCTTCCCCGGCCACCGGCCCCCCTCTTTCTTTACCAGCTCACCTTTTTTCACAGTAATGTTGAGGACTTTAGAGGTGTAGTCTTTCTGCTGGATCTGGCCTGAGCAGGAATAGTTGCCGCTGTCTCCGGTTGTGACGTTGCTAATGGAGATGTTGAAGTTCTCGTACCAGTACTTGATGGGGGTGCCATCCTTGTAGTAGGTCACCTTTTTGAGCCTCAAATTCTTCCAACTATGGCACCTGATGAGGAAGGTCTCACCCTCCATCACCACGTTGGCAGAGGCTTGAAGGATCAGCCACTCTGAAGAGCGTGTGTTAGGTCACGTAACAGCACACGGACGGGTACATAGACACGGACAGAGGTAGACGTGGTCACGCACAGAGGAAGCATCAGGAACCACGGCTTATCATTAACCCACTTCTTAGCCCGTAAGGTCAATAAAAGAGGAAACCTGAAACAATGCTTAGGGTCTGTCCTCTATATCAATAAACCCTCTCCCCTCCTGAAAAGCGACTCTGGGGCCCTAGAACCACACTGACGCTCCTGCTGGGCCCGTCCACAGACGGCTTGAGAGCCGGTGCTCCCTTCAGCTCCGTCGGTGCCAGTTCTGGACACTAAGAGGGAATAAAATTGTTCTGTCCAAGGAGCCCTTGCCTCGGGGCAGGTCTTCTTTGCCCTCTTGCGTCTTGGGGACTCCCTAGTCCTACCATCAATCGCGGTGAGCTCCAAAACTTCCCCAGAACATGCACGCGACCTTTCACAATGTGTGTGTAGTTACTCGCTTAGTGTCCTCTTCCCCATGTGGCTCCACGCCTCAGGAGGCCCAGAGCCACGTCTGATCCTTACAGGGTATTCCCAGCGCCTAACACCATCACCTCGGAGTGCATAGGTACCCAACAAATACTCATTAACGATGAGTTCGTGGAATGTCAAGGGTTGGGTTTCCTGGCTAATGTCGTTGTAAGAACTGAAACGCACTAAGAATCACGCAAAGTTGAAGCAGACACGAGATTTGTTTTTGAGTTAAGAGCGGAGCCTGTAAGGGATCTACATGGATGTCTTTCAAAACCAAGAGTGCCGACCTAATGTCCAGGTCGTGGCGCATGGAAATGATGGAGCAAATTTTAGAAATCAGACCTTTTGATCCTGTTTCGGATGTTCAGCTCTTTGCAACGTTCACATACCCAACATGTCCTTTGTACGTGTCCTATGCCTCTGCCCCAAGCCGAAAAGAGAGGTGAGGTGGGGTGGAGGGACAGCACCGGGAGGTGGAGATAGCCAGAACCAGGGAGGAAGGCAGGGCCGGGCAGGAGCAGGGGTGGAAGGAGAGCAGCAGGCGGGTCCTGAGTGTGAGGCCTGAATCCCACCCCGGTGCACTAGGCCCTTGGAGAACTTGATGCCTCCCCGGCTTCGGATGAGCCATTCCTCACGTGGGGGAATCCATCTTTCCATAGTCCCAGAACTTACCTGTGAAGACTGTTAGGTACACAGGATCACTCAGGACGGATCTATTTTCCCGACACCTGTACTCCCCACTGTCCTGGATTTGGGCTTTCTTGATGTCCAAACGTGAAGTCGTCTCTTGCAAAATGATGTTGTTGTGGAGCCACACAGCAGAGTTGACTTCAAGGGAGTTGTTCCCAGTACACGTAAGAGTCACATTGTCATCCTTCAATATTGGATTCCATGGCGGGTTCATGGACACTGTAGGTTTCAAGGTATCTTTGAGGAGATCAAATTGTGGAAAGAGGTATAAGGAAGGGGAAAAGAGAAAACTGTCCAGGCTCTGGAGCACAGACACGGCAACAGCGAGACGGTCTGTGTTTGGTCCACCCTCGTAAACCGTCCTGAGTCCTAGGCTTATGGAAGTGGGGTCAGTGCTGTGGCCCCAGGGAGTTTCCCACCCACGAGGAAAGACGGGACATGAGTGTAGGGTATTAAAAAAACAACCAAAAAAAATAAAATAAAAATAAAAAAACAACCAAGCCAGGGAGGACTGCTGCTCCTGGGCAGATAGAGGTGAGGTCTGTCCTGTTCAGCCCTAGCTCAGCACAATGGCTGGTACATAGTATGTGTTCATTAAATATTTACTGAGTGGATGAGTGTGTGAATAATGGATGAATAAATGTGTTGGACTTGATGAAACATAGTCTCTCCCAGCTCTAAATTTTTATGACTATTTAACTGTGAGTGCATACGGAGTGAAAAGTATACGTCAATTCTGGAAGGAAGTGAGAAGCGCCGAGAGAATCAGTCTTAATAGGTTTTCAGGAACAAAGAGACGTGGAACAAATTTGACCAAAGCCTAGAAGTGCTGGACGGTGATGAGGAAGGGTTCAGAAACAGGGCTAGGCTTGGACCCAAGGAGCTTGGGTTAGAAGCTGTCCCTTGGCTAGCTGCGGGACGGCCAGCAAGGCACTTAATTGGACAAAGGCCTCAAGTACAAAATGGTGACCAGACTAAGATGATGGTGTTTTCAGAATTGAATGAGGTCATGGGGTAGTGCCTGTGAGGCACTTAGGTGTTTATGTGTTCCACATTTAGATATTCCACAGAAAATGAACTAGGGGTGTTGGAAGGGGAGGTGGGTGGGGGGTGGGGTGACTGGGTGACGAGCACTGAGGGGGGCACTTGATGGGATGAGCACTGGGTGTTATTCTATATGTTGGCAAATTGAACACCAATAAAAAATAAATTTATAAAAAAATAGATATTCCACAGAGATGGTTGTTGCATAAAAAGAGTGGCGGTGTCTCAAGGGAAGGAGGTGGTGCTTTAGAAGCTGTCGAAGAGGGGAGAGAAGGAAGACAGGCAAGGTGCAAGTGGGGCTCAGGTTGGATGGGGAGGGGCAGACGCCTCATCGTCAGAAAGCAGAGGAGATGGAGTGGAGGGAAACAGCGGGGGCGGTGGGGAGGGCGTGCCCAGCCATGTTGAGGCTGACAGAGCAAGGACAAGGACTCACTCACCTGATGACATGACACCTGGAGCTGCAAAAGTCCAGAGAGGAAAAGTTAGTGGCTGCACACACCCTTCTGGAACTCCCAAGGACGGGGATGTGGGTAATGATGAGAGCTTCATCCACCGAGTTTTAAGGGCCAACCATCTTCCCAGGAACCTGACCCGGGGAGAGTAAGAGCTCCTCTCTTTCCTCCGTCCTCCCTCCCTTGCCCTCTGGGAGATGCCAGAGCGATTGCAGGGACTGGCTTTCAGGCTGGTCTTTCTCAGCCTGCTTTGCCCTGTTCTCCAGCTTGTGTGCACGACAGATTCCCCATGAGATGCCCCGTGGTTTGCACGGAGCTTAGAAAAAGTCACCACAAAAACGGCCAGTGTTCTTACCCCAGCTGCTCCCAGATCCATCTCGGCCCCTCCGGGGGAGGGGAGGGGTCCCTGAACCTCTACTTACAGGAGAGCAGCAGCGCTAGCCACAGCAGGGCAGGGCCTCCCATGGAAGCAGGCATCTCCTCGTGGCCCCCACGTACGACTGGACTGGAGAGACCTACAGCCTTAAAAGAGACTTGAAGCCAAAAAGGAGAAGGAAATGTTTTCTGTATCATATCTGGTTAACTCATCAGCTGTGCCTGGGCTTGCCTTCTCTGGCGATAATACTCAGAGCGCTGCCTAATTGGGCAATTTCACATTTGCCGCTCAGCGCTCTCCGTGCCAGGCCAGGCCAGCAGTTGCTGAAGTCTGGTTGTGGTTCTCCGGAGCCACCATCCCTCGTTACCTAATTTCCTGCTGGTCCACGAGCCCACCGGTCCACACGTTTCCATCTTATTTCCTGAGGATCCACGATCCGAGCAGCCAACCTGGGGATATTTTCAGGCTCTTTCTCTCCCATTGAGTCTTGGTGGAGCTCCCAACCCAGGACGACAGATATTAGACCATAACTTACAGGGATCTGGGTCTAGTCTATAATTTATTTCCTTTTCCCAGCTTTTATCCATTTTTATGTTTCTAATCTTCTAGCACGGCTGCCCTTCCTCCCTTAAGCCCACACCAGTTCTGTTCCCACCAGGGCCCCTTTGACTAATTACTCCGTGTTTTAGCTCCAGGCCAGAGCTGGTCGCCTGCCCCCAGGGTTGGGTACTGATGACGATGCTGGAGATGATAGCTCCGTTAATATAATACCCGTAGTCATTACCATTCACAAGGCTTCTTTCACACGCAGTACTTATTCTCTTTGGTCCTTGCCAAAAATCGAAAGTAGGCAGGGCACTGAGAGGTAAGCAAGGCGCCATTCTATCACACGGTGCCTTTCCTCACCGACTGTGGCCGCAAGTCTACCGAACCGAACATACAGTTCCTCTGCGTGAAGGCCTAACTCATACTCCCAACCTCCGTGGAATTAGAGAATTTGAGGCAAAAAGATTCTTGAATAGAAGGTTCCAGATAAGAAAGATTGGTGACCGGTTGCAGGCCACACAATGGTTCAGGGACAGATTTTCTTTTTTGTTTTAAAATTTTATGTATTTATTCATGAGACACACAGAGAGAAAGACAGAGAGAGAGAGGAAGAGACACAGGCAGAGGGAGAAGCAGGCCAATGTAGGGCCCGATCCCGGGACCCCGGGATCATGACCTGAGCTGAAGACAGACGCTCAACCACTGAGCCACCTGGGTGTAGGGACAGATCTTTAAAGAAGTCAACAAGATATTTTGAAAAATGCAAGTTGTTTGTATTTAAAGATCTGAATTCAAATGCTCCCAGCATTTATGTCCTCAAGGTTTACCTGTAACCTACAGACAATGCTGGCATTGAGATCACAGCTTTAGTATGAGGTGTTATCAGTTCATCAACAGGTAAAGTGCATCGCACAGCACCTGTATGTAGAAGAGGCTCAGTAAATATATCTTCCCCTTCTTTATCAGCAGGGCTTATTAAAGACTCTTAGGAAATGCGTGCACTCAACTGGGTTATAGCAGTCGGTCACCTACTTTTATGTGATAACCAGTGTAGTTTGCATAATTATGCAATGTCACTCACCTCTGTTACCATGATGAGGAAAGCATGATAAGAAACTGAATGTAAGAAGTTGTTCAACCCGGATGGAGAGGAGGAGAAAGAAATAGGAGAGATGCCATTTGTGGGTTCTGTTGGACGGCATGAGTTGAATAGCAAGATCCTGGAAGAGAGGGATCCCTGGGTGGCGCAGCGGTTTAGCGCCTGCCTTTGGCCCAGGGCGTGATCCTGGAGACCCGGGATCGAATCCCATGTCGGGCTCCCGGTGCATGGAGCCTGCTTCTCCCTCTGCCTGTGTCTCTGCCTCTCTCTCTCTCTCTCTCTCTCTCTGTGACTATCATAAATAAATAAAAAAATTAAAAAAAAAAAAAAAGATCCTGGAAGAGACCGCCATGCTGCACCACGTTGTTGAGACTGTGTCCAGGGTACTTATGGGAGATTCCTTTCTCGCAGGACAGTGATCCTACAATGACACTGTCCTTTGGGGACAAACACCTTCTTGTGACTCCCATGGTGTCTTTGAAGGCTTCCTCCTAAGACTCCGCACTGTCCCAACACCTTCTTCTTGAATGGGAGGCGGGGTGGGGCCCAAGGAGAAGAGCTGTCTCCTAGCGGGGAGGGTACAGGCTTTGTGAGGAGAGAGACCACGTTCGTTTGCTGCACCATCCAAAGCTTTTGTTCGGGCGTCCGTCCTCAAAATAGAGGTAGTGTTCTGGCAGTAGGGAGAGCAAAGAGTTCGCAGATTGAATGAAAGCAGTTCATTAAAGCTTAAAGAGCAAATCAAAACCACTTTGTCCATCCGTCCCTAAAACAGAACCAAAAGTGACAACCAAACCAGCAGCGTCAACGTCAGGAAGAAGGAACCATCCCCATAATACACAATCACAGGTACCCAAGAGAAACAAATCGGCAGGAAGGTGAAGCAGTAGCTCCGCTCCACCGTGAAGGAACGGGTTGATGCGCCAGTTGAGTTCCATACATCCTTCACCTTATACAAAACCCAGGTCCTCTGAATTTTACGTGCACCCTCTGGGTGGACCATGCCGTTCGCTTCCTGTCTCCTGCCTATGGAGGTCAACAAGTATGCTCCCCGGGACCAGCAGATTGGGTCTTCATCTCACCTCTTCCTACAAGCTTTACCATCTGGGTGTTCCTAAGCAGCTTCTCTATCCCAAATTCTGACCTATTGTTGGTTCTTGGAAAGCTGAATTTGCACTTCACTCGGTAGCAGTAGAGAAGGGAAACCCAAATGGTCACACGTGGACTCTGGCGCCTGCAAGCTGTGGTGTCTCTCTGCAGCTGGATCCAGAGTGAAAGGCTTTGGATGGGAGCTTTCATGATTTGGGACATGCTGGCATGGGACGGGGCAGCCCATAGGGCCTCTGGGACTTTGTACCCTTCTCCAAAATTGGGAAGCAGACAGAAGGGCCGATTTGTTGGCTTCTTCCTCTCTGAGTTCTCTAGCACAAGGCAAGGTCTCTATGAAACTGGATGTGAAATGATAAGAGCAGAGGAGCTGTCTGCTTGTGGTGTGGATGCACCAGATGAACACTCATCACCCCCCAAGGACTAAGCATGCAGGATGACTAATTTGTTTCGGTCTTACCAACTTTACGTGGTTCAAGAACGAGGACATTAAAACACAAGGAAGTTGGGTGACCCATCCAGGCACGCAGCTGCTCAGTGGAAGAATTAAGATTTGAAACTACATGGTCTGGGTAAAGAGCCTGTGCTCACAACCACGTCCACGTAACGCTCATCCACCCCGCGTCTACACAGTGTGTTCGAAGCACACCCGAATCCATAGACCCCGTGCAAAAACTGTGTGGATTCCTAGGGATAGCTAACCCACAGATGGAAAACCATGGAGCTAGTCCAACCTCCTGTCCTACAATCTCTTTTCTTGGGTTCACAAAATGACGTATCGATCCTCCGCCACGCGGTGCTGTGGGCACGGTTGCATATATTCATTATGTGTACTTACAGGTGTGCCCGGAGAGAGGAGAGGGATTCCTGCCTTTCAATCCAGATTCTTAAGGTCCAGGGGGTCATCAGCTCTTTCTGCTGCCAGGAGGGGAGTCTGCTCAGGAAGCAGTACTCGCCAGCAGGTACTGGCTGCCGGGTGAATTTGGGCAATGAAGGCAGTGGCTTTACTACTCTTTTATTCTTGTCTCGACATAAGCCTGTTGCCTGCTTTGTGTGGATCCAAAAGAAACACGTGGACACTCCCAGGGCTCCCAAAGTAGACACCATTGAGAGGGAGACGGGGACACGGATTATGAAAGCCGCAGCATTGGGTGTGGACAGAGATCTTCCTCCAGTCACCCCTCAATGCAAAAAAGAAAAGAAAAGAAAAGAAAAAAAGCCCATCAGGAAAGAATCCCAAAGACGATCTTTTCCACCTTTAGACCCGTGCTTCTTTCTAACAAAGGAGGGACGATCAGCCAAGTTTTTCACAGAAGTAAATGGATTTGAATGGAGACCAGACACAAAATATATTTTAGTACCTGTTTTTAATAAAACATGCTATTGCTCAAATTCAAAGGTGACCGTAGTATTTGGATTTTACATAGTGACACGGCAAGAGCTCATGCCCTACGGACTGTGTAGGAGGCCAACCAGGTATCCGTGAAAGGCGGCCCAGGGGCCAGTGGGCCGCGACCCGCACAGGCTCGCAGTGTGCGGCAGACTGGGGAGAAGGTCTCCTGACTAGAGCCACAGCTCTTAGGTGTCCTGAAGACTCAACTACGGAGAAAGTGCTTGCACAGGCCTCGCAGCACCCATCAGGGCCGCCGCCGCCTCCGGGCCTGCAGGGCAGACACTCAGCGGGCCACTCCCCGGGACCCCAAAGAGGGTTATAAACTGTCAGACTATTGCATTTAATTTTTCAACTTAAAGAATAAAACCAAGTCAGTGCCCACGCGTATTCCACAGACATTCGGCCTAAGATTGATTTCGAGTCCGTGCCCTGAACGTGCGGGGGACTGTCGTTCTCAAATGGGCCCCACACCACGGGGAGTGTCTTGGTGTCTCTGCACCTCAGCCCCGACCTGGGGAGGCAGCCGGTGACAGTACCTGTGGTTGTCAGTGTTGGGCTGAGGTAGTGACAGGTTGAGCGAGAGCAAAGCCACCTGCGGCACTTACTGTGTCCTTATTTTGGACTTGAGAGCCGCAGGGACAGATCCTCCCACACAAACGCGGGGAGAAAGCTGGAAAGACCCCCGGTGGACCCAGGTGGGGGGTGCAGCTGGCGCATGGGCCAGGTGGGCAGGCAAGCGAGGGCACCACGCTCTCAGAGCAGGCGGGGGGCCAGGTAGTGGCCCTGGGGTCCCGGGGGGTGGCTCTGGGGTCCTGGGGGTGCCCCTGGGGTCCCAGGGAGTGACCCTGGGAGTTCTGGTGGGGTGGCCCTGTGGTTCCGGGGGATGGCCTTGGGGGCCCCGGGGGGTGGCCCTGGGGGGCCTGGGGAGTGGCCCTGGGGTCTCAGGGAGTGGCCCTGGGGGTCCTGGGGAGTGACCCTGGGGTCCTGGGGGG